AGAGTACTTGACCAACGATTGAGTGAGTTAGGCTCTATTAAGATCAGTGGCACTGAGCTCACACGTACAACATCATTCAAGTATCTTGGGTCGGCAATCGCGTCCGACGGCAGCCTGATCTCTGAAGTAAACTCCCGGGTGAGTGCAGCTTGGTCCAAATGGCGCTCGATGACCGGCGTTCTCTGCGATAAGAAAATACCAGAGCGACTGAAATCTAAGATCTACAGAACCGTCATCCGACCAGTCGCCATTTACGGAGCAGAGTGCTGGCCCGTGACTAAAGAGGTTGAAGCTCGTCTCAGTGTAATGGAGACAAAAATGCTGCGCTGGACTGCCGGGGTCACGCGTTTAGACCACATTCGCAACGATACCATCAGAAAGCGGTTCGGTGTGGCTCCCATCGCTGATAAGATGCGCGAAGCTCGCCTGAGGTGGTACGGTCACGTCCTTCGCGCTAATGATGAGAGTGTCCGTAAGATCGGTCTAGACTTTAACGTGCCAGGAAAGCGGCCAAGAGGACGCCCGAAGCAACGATGGCTTGATACGTTGCATGAGGACTTGAAATTAGTTGGCCTTCCACCCCGATCAGGCATTAATCGGGAAAAGTGGCGTCAAACACCAGGAAAAGCGGACCCCGCCACAGGGTGGGACAAACGCTAAAGAATAAGAAGAAGAAGAAGTGCTATGCTAAGGCAATGAGAGACTCAGCGCGAGGGTAGAATGCGAGTTGGGAGCGCAACCGGTGAGGGCGCCAATTGTAGCTCTTCGAGCTTCTCTGCAAGGCCCCTATCGCGCAATTTCCACACACGAGAGTGCCACATATGTGATTATCCTCTAGGAGTCTATTCTACTGACCGGAGGGAGTTGTTTGCCCAACTTCTGATGCCTCTTATTTTCAACAGCCACGAAGGCGAGATTTCTCAGAATGCAAAATTTAGAATGAGGTAATAGCGTTGGGTGACTACCTCGATGATTCGTTGAGTGGCAGCATGAGATTCAAATCTCAGGAACATTTTACATTGGTCATCATCGATATCTTCGGCGACAGATGAGATAAGTTGCCTAAATACTACTTACTTTCATGAGTAAAAATTTTCAAAACTAAATTACGAACTTGAAAGATTCTTCGTCATCAGCGTAACAAAGCAGTACGCGATTTTTGCAGACAAGGGCGTATCCACACACGAGACCACCACGTAACACCATCTTTCCAACAACCTGCAAGATATCATTGATTAAACCGCACAAATTAGTGGTAGTACTGCCTCAAAAATTGTACAATGACGATTTTGAATCACAAGAATATTTCATGTCATGCATGTCTTCCATTGACCGTATACTCTACTGCCGCGAGATGGTACCGGACCCGTCTGGAGGACGTGGTAGGAAGGGAGGCACAGCTCTTGAAGGATTCAAGGGATAAACTGTGCGAGTGTTACACATTTTTCTCATTGGAGCAACCTAACTTTATTCCATGAGAAGTCGCGATACTCAAGTTCACGAAGGAGTTGTAACATAGGGAGTCCGCGATTCACCAACCGATCCGTAAGCGCACCATCCCCATAAAGAGTAACTCTGGGAGCAGTTCACACTTCAGTCGCATCCACCGGAACACGAAGGGATTGCTCTTGGCTAAATCTCTTTGTCGAACATTGCAAAGGTTTTAGGTTTATTCAGTGGAAAAACTCCATGAACTTACTTTTAAATTATTAAATTGTCGCGTTGCGTAATCGTTACGTAGACCATTTGCGTAGTTCTTCTCATTTTCCTCTCATTTTCCTTTCTTTCCTTCTCCGTGCAATATT